AAAAATAACAATGATGTTGTATGGGGCTCATAACATGTAAAAGTAAAGCGGTTAGAAAGGGAGAAATGGAAGTAAATTATTGAAAGGTTTTTATACATGAAGTGGTATAATATTACTTGAAAATATACTATGATAAAAGGATGTATGCTATAAACCCTACAGTAGTCACTAAAATAAACAGTTACTATCAATAAGCCAACAAAAGAGATAAAATGGAATTGTAAAAAATTTCAATTAATCAAAAAGAAGGAAGAAAAGAAGGGAGAACAAAGAACAAATGGGACAAATGGAAGACAAATAGCAAGATGACATTTAAATTTAACCTCGAAATTTTGAAAACCTGGCAGGGCCTGGTGGCTCATGCTTGTAATCCCAGCACTTCGCGAGGCTGAGGCGGGTGGATCACGAAGTCAAGAGATCAAGATCATCTGACCAACATAGTGAAAACCCATCTCTATTAAAAATACAAAAATTAGCTAGGCATGGTGGCGCGTGCCTGTAGTCCCAGCTACTCGGGAGGCTGAGGCAGAATTGCTTGAACCCGGGAGGCAGAGCTTGCAGTGAGCCCAGATTGCACCACAGCACTCCAGCTTGGCGACAGAGCAAGACTCCATGTCAAAAAAAAAAAAAAAATTTTTTTTTGAAAAATGTAAATAGTTATTTTAGGGTACTAGCTTCATGACTGACTTTATTCTTTCTCAAATTTGCTGTTCAATAATAAAAGATAAAGTTCTAAGTCACCATGTTTTATATAAAATAGATTACATATGAGTGGTCAGTGCCTGTAGTCCCAGCTACCTGGGAGGCTGAGGCAGGAGGATCATTCAAGCCCAGGTGTTACAGACCAGCCTCAGCAACCTAGTGAGACCACATCTCAAAGCAGAAGAAGAAAAAAGAGTGGTCAGAGGTATATGTGTATCTTAAAGTAAAAGAAAAAATAAAACCAGACTATATGCAGTGGCTCACGCCTATAATACAAGCACTTTGGGTGGCCAAGGCAGCAGAATCACTTGATCCCAGGAATTCAAGGCTGCAGTGATATGATCATACCACTGCACTCCAGCCTGGGAAACAGAGTGCGACGACCTCAAAATAAATGAATGAATAAATATCCACATACTAACACAGCTTAAAAAGAAGTAGATTACTAATATTTTGAAGACACCAATACCCCATCTCCTACTCTCCTCCCCAAGCAACCATTATCCTGAATTCTGAATTAATCATTCCTCTGCTCTTATTTATGGTTTTACCAGATATGCATGAAATCCTGAATGGTGTTTGTTGCTAATTTTTAATTTTTATAAAAATTAAATCATACTGTATATATTCTTATATGGTTTGCTTTTTTCAATCAACATTGTATTTTTGATGCTCATCCACATTGGTGTGTAGCTATGTTCTATTCATTTTCAATATATTTTTACATTTTCCTATTGATGGCCATATGGGTAATTTCTAGAGCTGTGCTCTTAGAAACAGCGCTTATGAATGTCTTGTACCTCTCTTGATTTAAGTGGGTATGTAAAGGAATGGAATTGCTACATTATGTTTCCAGATATAATGATCACTCTGTGTTATTAGCCTCATTTTATTAATAAATGAAGGCTTATAGAGACCAGGAAATTTGTTCAAGGTCACACAGCTAGGTAGTAAAGTTAAGACCAATAAATTCTGCTCCTTCCACTTGAAAAAAACTCAGTTAGGTAGCTCATACTTCTGGAAACATGTAACTATCAAACAGAATCCTGATGTTTTATCTTGTTTTACCTAAAGTTAAAAGAGGAGGTCCTAGGAAATTATTCCACTCAATTCTACCACTTGACCACTTGAAGCAACTTGACTACATAATGATCATGATTAAAACTTTCATTCTATTAAAATATCCTGTATTTCACCATTCCTGAAAATTCTAGTCAAATGTTATAGTTTAAAATGTGTACAAATTGTGTATGTATAAAATTATAAGACATAGTAATAAAGTGGTTCTCATTGTGACTACAGTTTTACATTAAATTACAAGCACTTTTATTTTTGCCATAACTAAATTTGGAATTACTACATTTAAGATTCACTGAAGTGAATGTAATAATTATTTTTTAAATACTACATATTCCTTTTAGAAATTACTTGAGAATACTTTGAAAAATGTCCTGCATGCCATTTAAGCCAACCAAATAATTTCCAAGATACCTAGCATTACACTTAAATTTTAAAAAGGGTAAAAAGTCAACTTTTTTTTTTCAGCTAAGGTCAACTATTTAGCTCTGCAATCTTTCCTTTAAAAAATATTTGTAATAATTAGGTCTCTGATTTATTTCACAAGTCTTAATCTTGCTTTATAAATAATCCTATTTTCAATCACACTTTATTATCTAACATGGCTGTTTATTAATTACATGATCCTATGGTAAAGCACATATTTCTAAAAATGTAACTACTGAGACCTACAGCAGTGTAAAGGCATCTTCACATTATAGTACTCTGTAAATATTACATTGTTACTTTTAACAAAAAGGAACCAGATTATAATAAAATTGTTACAAAATAGCTTAAAAGTGTAATAGAACTTCACTAAAGAAAACATTAAAATGAACGAGTTTTAACTAGACCTATAACAATTTTATATATGCTAGAGATAAAATTAATATGAGGTTACATAATTTTTTTTTTTTTTTTTTTTGAGACAGGATCTCACCTTGTCACCCAGGCTGGGGTGCAAGTGGTGCCAGTACAACCTCCGTTTCCTGGGCTCAAGCAACGCTCCCACCTCAGCCTCTTGAGGAGCTGGGACTACAGGTGCACAACACTATACTCAGCTAATTTTGTAAAAATGTTTTGTAGAGACAAGGTCTCAGTATATTGCCCAGGCTGGTCTCAAACTCTTGGACTCAAGCAATCCTCTGGCCTTAGCCTCTCAAAGTGCTGAGATTACAAGTGTGAGCCACCACACCTAGCTGAGGTTAAATAATTTTATACTATAAAAAAGCATAAGATCTTGTGAGTTCCAAAGTGCTTTGGGTATGAAGAGCCAACATTCTGTTTCAGGGATTTTAACTTAATGCTCCTTTAACATCTTTGCTGGATGTTGTTAGAATAGTATTTCAAACATTTTCTACAATTTGAATTAAATATTACCTTACTAAATAATGAGAGGCTGGGCAAAAAAAAAAATGTTAAGTATATCTCCAAATATAGCACAACAGTTTAATGCTCTGTTTGTGACCTTAACAAAATATGAAAGTCTGCAACACATTCACAAACCACCTGGAGATTCAAACTCACAATGAACGTGCAATGACATATTGTGCTACTTGACATTAGCTATTACCAAAGACAGTTCAAAAGGAAGAGAACAGAGACAATCTTATTAGTATAATTGGAAATGTGCTGACATATCCACCTGACCAAACATCTTCTCTTGCAGTGTATTATATTACCTGAGAAAGGTAACTTATAATCAGTGCTAATATGCTCCTTAATCTGATTTACAAGGTCAACTAGCTATAAACAGAACAAGGCCCAGGAGCTACCATACAGGTGACTTCAATTCTCTATGTCTGGACTGGATGGGAATACGGGGGCTTCCATGTTTGTGGCCTTGTTGGAGTATGCGAATAGGACTGCAGTGAGAATTCTGGTTATAAAAACTCTCCCTTGTAAAATTCACTGTAAATCAAGGACAAAAATCATGAGATTGTTTGTTTTATTATACTTTAAGTTCTAAGGTACATATGCACAACGTGCAAGTTTGTTACATATGTATACCTGACATGTTGGTGTGCTGCACCCATTAACTTGTCATTTACATTAGGTAAAATCATGAGAGTTTTAAGGACAACAACATGGAAAAATCTTTCTGTTAGCAGCTAGTGGAATAATTCATTTAGGAGGAAAATGGGAGAAATGTTTCGTAACTGCTGAGAGTAAAAACTCGGAGAACCTAGGCTTGAGAATAATGTACATCTACTAATTCAGGACTAGACACATAAATTAGAGAGTTTTTGACATAAAAGTAACATTTGAAGTGATGCAACGCATGAATCAGCTCACTGAGGGATTGAGTATAGACAGAGAATACAGCCACCCCAATGTTAAGAGATCACAACTAAAAAAAAATTTTAAAACTCGGAAGGACTGAGAACCAGTAATAAAAGAGGAAACCCAGGAAAGTATGTTGGCTGAGAGCCAAATGAATAAACAGATACAAGGAGAGTCATTCAGGTGCATTAATAAATGCTAAAAGTAAAGCATTACATTCCTTTCTAAAAATAGCAAATCTTCAAACTGAAATAGAGAAAAATTGAAAGATATTACTTGGCATTCATTTATCAGTGACAGAGAAAAAACGGAAGTTCTAACAATGTTATCTAATCGAGATGTTTTATTCATTTTCATTACGTATATGCTGTGTATGGTACTCCCGAGCATCATATCTTCCTTTTAACATCCACATGAAACAAGCTTTTAAAGAGCACAGCAATTCTCTTGGTAGCATTAATTTTAAAGAGAACCTCTTAAGTTGTTTTACCAGCTCAGACTGACTGACTAAACAACCAGCGTCTCCCATTCAGCTGCCAGTCTTTCCTCAGAAATGCCGGTTTGGCATAACTTTAAGACTCAAGATGGTATAAGGCGCATCCTGTTTCTTCCAAAAAAGAATGGGCAAAACTCAACATTCACGGAGGGCTTAGAGAAAATTAGATCCGTATACTGTGACGTCCTGGAAGGGAGAGGCTCACCTCCTACAAAGTAGATGCTCAATAAATATTTTTGATGTAATTCTGGAAGAGCTCCATTTGGGATCGGGAGTGCACCTACTCCAGGGCACCACCCCCTGCAGAATAGTTGCATTCCCACGCCCCTCATACTCCGCTCAGTAAAGGCACCCGCGAACTAGCAGGCATCCACCCAGTGAATACAAGCAAAGTGGGACGGCGCACCACCGCAGTCCGGACTCTTAAGGTTAAAAAACCCCTTGCCCTCGGGCCAGGGCTCACCTGCCTCGGGAGGGGGAAGAAGCGCGACTCCTGGCCGCTTCGGAGTAGGCGTCCCGGCAAAACTCTCGCCTCATCACCAGACACTACCCGGGCAGAAGGTTCCTGGACTAGGTCCTTGGACCCGAGAGGGAGGGACAAGCTCACTTGGTCTCTTGGGTCTCCAGGCCGCCGCCGCCGCCACCACAGTTCCCTCAGGTGTTACAAAGCGTCCGGGGTGTGCGCGCGCTCCCGCATCGTCGCTTAGCAACCTGAGAAGCTGTCCGGTCGTCCCAACTTATCAATTCCCCCGCCCTTCCACAGTGTGAATCGTTTTTTAAATGATTTTGTTTCCGGGTCGAGCCAGCTTTACGCAGCGGAAGGTCTCTTTACCTCCCACGTTTACCCTCACGGGAGGACGAAGTCTCAGTCACGCGCGTGGGGGGTGATGTCGCTAAGGGGTCATTCTCTCCACCCTAGAGTTACAAACGAAATCTCTCCCGCCAATTGCCGGGCGCCATCAGGCAGGTCCTTGCCTCCTGACCCCAAATCATCCGCTTGTCGTCGTCCTCCAATCACAGCGGCTCATCCTCCGGGACTACTTTGCAATCGGAGCAGAGCGCAGTGAGAAGGGAGTGAGAAGAACCTCTCGAATCGGGAAGTGTAGTTCAACACTTGAAGGAAACACTTTGGAGATTGCGCCAGAAGCAGGCAGCGTAAACTACAGTTCCCAGAGAGCGCCGCGTCGGGAGCGGAGCGTTTTCTCGCTAACACCGCTCGCCCTCTCCGAGTCAGTTCCGCTGTAGAGGTGACCTGACTCTCTGAGGCTCATTTTGCAGTTGTTGAAATTGTCCCCGCAGTTTTCAGCCATGGTGAGTGTGGGCCCCGGGTTCCTGCCCACCTCCGGCCCTCGCGTCCTTTTGTGGGGTTTCTTGCACTTTAGGGACTTTTGGGAGGCAGCTGTGCAAGGCGCCGTCCTTCGCGCCCTTTGACAAGCTCGGACTCATCTTGGGATTGTCGCAGTGACCCAGTAATTGGGAAGAGATTGATTTCCACCTTGCGGGGCATAGGGCGCTCTTAGAAGGACTCTGGAGAAGTAGTTGTCCTGGGAGAGGCGCGATCTTAATCCTGCTGTATGGCGGGAGGACAGAATACGACGCTGCAGCTATTTTCCAAAGGATGTTACGGGGTTTGTTTGATAAGGACAATAAGGTTTGCGATGGGAGGGAAAGGTTGGGTGCTAACCCCTTTTTCTCCTCATTAGCCCACAGTGTTTATAAGAGCTTTTGTCACAGGGCCCTTGAAAGCTAAAAGCTGGAAAGGTAGTATTTACCTGGTGGTCCAGATTACGATCTGCGTTTGCAGGAGACGTGTTTCCGCCATGTCTGATTTCTCAAAATGTTATTTGGAACCCGTTCATTGACCTGTTTTGTAATGCCAGGACATGTTGAAGTGATGGCATCACTAGCCAGATAACTACTGCGGATAGTCTTTGTTGAACTGTATGTAATGAATTCCAGAAGCACTTCTTTTAAATGTAACAGAGTAACCATTTTGTCTTGGAAGACCTGGATAACCTAGATCTCCATCGCTTGTCTCTGCAGAAAGGGGGGGGGGGGGGGGGTGGTGAAGGAACTCTGACGTAGGAATATTCTGCGTACTGCTTGAAGGTGACATTTGTCATCAAACTCAGAGAAATCGCTTCCCACTATCAGTACAGTGGCTTGTATTTATAGTTGCGACTGTTTTTCCTACTTTGTGTCCAAAATACTAAAATGGCTGGAGAATGTGGAGAAATGTTTGAATGAATTGGAAATTTCCCAGAACCTGAAAAGACAACGTTTTCAAGGCAAGGGCATTACTCTCTCTGCCTGTGTAACGGGGCCAGTGGAGACAGCTACTAATTTCCAGTAGGTGTTAAACCTAAGTTTCCTATGTATTTTGTCACATAATTAGTCATTTAAATTATGGTTTCAGTGGTTTCTGTCCTAATAATCTTAGCTAGAAAGCAGAGGTACTTATTATGTGAGAACCTTGGACTTTTTGCTTTTAGAACTGAATAGGATCTTTTAAAGGTCATCTTGACGAATCTCCCCACTTCACATCTTAAAATTGAGTTTATCGAGACCCAGAGAGAATGTGATTTGTCCCAAGAGTCTCACACTCTTGTCATTTTTCTATATTGTGTCTTACACTCATCAAGCCTTTCTGAATTTTTATTTTTATAGGGACCACCGCAGTGAGGTCTTGCAGCGGGGGAGAGACGGTGTACTCAATTCCCTGAAAACTTAATTTTTACTAACTGAGATTCTGGATGAAGTTACCAGTTCATACTGCATATACAAACTCAACTATGTTATCAGCATGTCGATTACTTGATAGCTTTATTCCTTGCAATTCAAAATATTGGAATTCTAGAATTAAAAGGGGATTTGGAGAATATATTATCTACTCTTATAATGTAGTCTGGGGAGGTCAGATAATTTTCTTAAGGTCACAGAGAGATTTTGGGCCCCAGATTCTTAGCTGGTTTTCCCTAGTAAGGCCCCACTGCTGGAAGGTCACTGAGGTGCCAGATAACACAGAGACAGAACATGAGGAAGAATTTGTCTGGCAGTTTGCTGGAACTGACAGCAAATTCACACATGACTCAATTTCCCTGCCCCCCTCAGGGGAGTGTGTGAATGGACAGAGTTAGAAAAGAGCCTTCTTTTGTAAGCTCATTCAAAGGGGAGGATTCTTTGCTTGTTGTCTATAGGGAGTGACAGCAAAATAAACTGTATGAAGGAATCTAAATGGTACCGCTTAGTTTTTTGTGTTACAGAAATGCATGTAATTTAGAAATATATATAAATTTGAAAGTGAAAAAGGAATATGTGGATCTGTCTGTGGAATAACAGAGACACTTAAATTCAATCTTTACAGCTGAGAAGTTAGCACAGAGCCTGCATCTGCAGGAAAGTCATTGGTGCCCTGCTAAGAGCAAAGACATTCCTTCTTTGGATCTTGGCAGACTGCCCAGATATCTGAGCAAAGAATAGTAACCTATGTTCACACTGTAACATTGTGAAAGTCAGCAGGACTCGCCCACCCTCCTGCTTTTCAACTGCAATGTTGCAGAGGAGCAGAAAGAACCATACGTGGAGTTTTCTTTCTCTGTTTCATCTTCAAACATTCAAACACTAACTAAGCCTCAGACTGCCATTAATAAGATGGAATTACCTACCTGTGAAAGTAATTTCTCCAGAAATACAGAAGAAAACTGCTGAGGTGGAATTAACTGTTCATTAGGTGGCCACAACCCCTTCATTAAGGACTGTGATACTGTGAACATGTTTTTAAATAGCTACTAAAATTGACTGCATTATTCTAACCATATAGATGACCTTATGGGAGGTTAAACTTTATAGATAGTGATCTTCCATCTCTCCAGCCCCCCTTTTCTTATCCTACTTTGCTGTACATTGAAGTAGTATGTGTTCGTACTTTATACCCTAACCTTCCTTCATTCAACAAATACTGGTTGAACACTATATGGAAATGCAAATCCGTATCAAAGGCAGACTGTTCTTAAGGGGGCTTCATGGTCTAATACAGAGCAACAGAAATGCAAATAGAAAACCACAGGCTATTAGAGTCTTTAGAGGAAAATTCTGTGATGATAATTGTGAATACTTAAAACTACTCTGTTCGTTAGGTAATTGCTATTATTATCTCCATTTTATTATGGGGAAATAATGCAGAGAGGTTAAGTAACTTGTCCTAGAGCACGCAGTTAATGAGTTGTGGAGCCAGGACTTGAACCTAGAAAGTCTGGCTCCAGAGTCCATCTCTTTAATTACTACTCTCTACTGCTTCTCTAGCCCCCTGTTTTAGAAAATTGGTGTATCCTTTTGTTTCCTTCACGTAATTCACCAATGGATTCCCTGGCCTAAAATAGTACCAACTACATGATAGGAACTTAATGCTGTTTTGTTTAATGAATGAATTAAATGAGACAACAGCTCATCAGTGGATTTATAAGGTAATATCATTAGTACTAATGACATAAATAATTTTGTTAACTATAGTTGAAACTATTGTGGTCACTGAGTTTCTAGCCTTCTCAATACATACTATATATGAATAAAATACCTTTTGTTTTCATGGTACATATTAATGAGTTTTTGTTTGAGTCAGGATCTCACTCTGTCACCAAGGCTGAAGTGCACTGACACAGTAATGGCTCACTGTAGCCTTAACTTCCAAGGCTCAAGTGATTCTCCTGCCTCAGCCTCCTGAGTGGCTGGAACTACAGCATGTGCCACCATACCCAGCTAAATTGTTTTTTTAAGAGACAAGGTCTCACCGTTTTGCCCAAGCTGGTCTCGAACTCCTGGGCTGAAGTGATCCAGTCACCCTGGCCCCCGGCGCAGTGTGCCGGGATCATAGGCGTGAGCCACTGCACTCAGCCTGAAATATCTTAAATAAATAAAATACCTTTTAAAAAATGTTAAAGCATACTACATATGTTCCCAAACAGTTCTTTTACATTTCCATCTTTTTGGTAGTTTTATAGGATCCAGCTATTCCTTCAAGCAAATATCGGAGTTCCAACTACGGGCCAGGTGTTTTTCTAGGCAATTGAGATACAGCAGTAAATAAAATAGACAAAGTCCATGTTCTTAAGGATCTTGCATTCTAAAGGAAAAGGGAGTAATAATTTCTTCCTGTATTCCCTTTTCCTCACCTACTGTACTTGACTTCAAGGAAAGAAGGGAAAATGACAGAATGAAACGTGTAGGCCATTAAAGATTTTTCTATAAATAGCAATAAATTGGAAAACAAATATTGTATAGTATATAGCTGGCTATGATCAAATTCATTTCTCTACACTAGTTGACATTTATTTATTTATTTATTTATTTATTTAATTTTGAGATGGAGTTTTGCTCTTGTTGCCCAGGCTGGAATGTAATGGCACTATCTTGGCTCACTGCAACCTCTGCCTCCTGGGTTCAAGCCATTCACCTGCCTCAGCCTTCCAAATAGCTGGGAGGCGCCTGCCAATACACCCAGCAAATTTGTATTTTTAGTAGAGACAGAGTTTCTCCATGTTGATCAGGCTGGTCTCAAACTCCCAACCTCAGGTAATCTGCCTGCCTCGGCCTCCCAGAGTGCTGGGATTACAGGCACGAGCCACCGTGCCTGGCCTGATACTTCTTTTTTGAATTTTTTTTTTCTTTGACTTCTGTGAGTGAGTACCAAATTGCTGAGTTCTGCTGACCTTCAGAGCTTAGAGTTAGAAGCTTAAAAGAAGCCTTTGAGGCTATCCATCCTTGTTTCATCTGGAGGAAGGATCTTAAAAAGAAACCAAATATTTATAGGCTCAGTCACATCAGTGGACCATTTCTCCATGCAAGTAGGGGTAAAGGTGACAGTGAAAGTACATTTACCCAGCATTGTCGGGGAAAGGAATGGTTCACCATAATTAAATTTTTCTGTCTAATTAAACTTACCCATTATGTTTCTAAACATTGTTTTGTTCTTAATAGAAATATTTCTATTTTTTAAAATTCTGTCAGCTTAGTCTTTTTTTCCTCAGAGTCATCACCTTGAATATTAGTTATCTTTGTTTCTATGTCTGTAGTTTGTTCAGGATCTGTTGAAATTTCTGTTTGTATGTCTTCCCTCCTTGCTTTTAAAAATAATTTTCCCTTGGAATCAGGTTGTCAGCTGTCTGTCACTACATGTTACTGTTGTTTCTCCTGAAATAA